TTCCTTAAATTCTTTTTGTGTATTTTGCTGCTGTTTGCTGTGCGCTGAATGTAGCCGAAGAAAATCATATTTTATTGTTATCGAAATTTAGTAGCTGCAAATAAACATCGATCAGCATGTGTTGGGGGTGTGTTCCAGCTCCTGCTCCTGCTCCCGTTCCGACACCATGCTTAACAGGCGGCGGGGTATGCGGAACATTTGTGTTGCAACTTCCGCTCTGAGTTGGACAGCAGCTAATGCCATAACTCTGGGCCATAAACTGGGTCAGACAGCAGCATTGTCAACGCTGTCAGGAACGCAACCAACGCTCGGCCCCTGGCTTCAGTTCAGTTGCAGCTAACATGCCTGTGGCAGCAGCAGCAACAACAGCAGCAACTGCTGCTAGAGCACTTTGGATTAGGCCACGTTCAACGTGAATTGTTGAATGCTGTCACTCGGGTTTTGTTACTCGCTTCACCCAGCCCAGTTGCAGCTGCCACTCAGCCAGGTGGCATGTGGCTCAACCAGAGGCCAGGCCATAGCCTCGCATTGTTTTGATTTAGTGCTGCAACAGAAAAAAAAAAACAAAAATAATAAGCCGGAACTTTGTCTGAGCTGTTCCGAAATAGGCCTCAGCCCCTAACCCTCTGCTGCTGCTCTGTTGAGCAATGAGACTCGTTGTGCAATTTATGACTTTCATCCTTCAACTGCATTCAAATTGGAACTGCGCTCATTTTTTATGCAGCTCCACTAAATTTGTCACGATTTGAATGCTGCGGGCCTATCGGAAAACCTAACTAATTCACTCTGTGTTCCAGCTGACCTCAGCTATCTGAAGTGCTAACTGAATGAGATTTAAGTACCAAACTCCAATTGGTATATATATATATAGATATATATATATATATATAGTACATATATACTTTTTAAGAGAGTTAATATATCTAAGCTGAAATTGGCTTAGTAATAGATTAGATCGGTGTGAAAGAGTTTTCATACAATTAACTTGAAAAGCTGAAAGAACTTATCCAGCTCTCAGCTCATTCACTCTCTTTCGCTTACTCAATGCTTCTCTCTTACATTCTCTTTCCCCACTTATTTTGATCTCTCTAGCGCTTTCACGCTCTCTCTGTCATTAGTTCTTTCTCTCTCTCCCTCATTCTCTCTGTGTAGTCCCTGAATTTATGTCTTTGTCTCTTTTTTCTCTGACTCTTCTCTCACATTTTTTCTATATCTTTCCCATTATCTCTCTCTATCTCTCTCTAGCTCCCTGCCTTTCATTTTTTTTTCTCTCTCTCTCTTCTATTGTCTGTCTTATTCTCTGGTTCTCTCTGTCTTCCTTCCCTTCTATTTCTCTCTCTCTCTTCTATTGTCTGTCTTATTCTGTATCTCTCTCTGTCCTCCCTCCTTTCCATTTCTCTCTCTCTCTTTTTCTAAGTCTCTCTCTCACACTCATTCCTCTTTACTCTTTCCTTCCATAACTCTCACTCACTCTCTTTATTTTTACTGTGTCTCTAACATAAATTTACTGATTATTTCATTGCATTTGCTTCTGCTAAGGGCCTTAATTGGTATTCAAAGATTTTCAATTGTCGGGCAAATGTGGGGTAAATTCTGTAATTCTGTAGGTGAGTCTGAGGTAACGACTTAGAGCCCTGCAAATGCATTAAGGGCCTAAAGCTGCTTAAATTAAAATCAATTTTGCTTTCTCGTTGTCTTAGTTTACGGATTAATTAATGCGCATTTAGTTTGAATGCGTTTCAACTCAGGCGAATGCTCATTTACAGTTATGCCAGGTTAATGCCACAACTCAATGCTGAGCGTTAAGCGTAGGCTTAGTAAGCCCACACACACAACCAGAGAGAGAGAGAGAGAGGGCGGTGGGAGACAGAAGGGGGAGTTAAGGCTGAGCAGCTGACTGATTTCACAGTCTCAGCCGCATTGCATATGGTGAGTGGAGTGGTTTTTGGCTTGGTTGGATCTACTACTAAGCACTTCACACAAAACTTGGCACAAGTCGAAAACTTTTCATATAAATTACAACAATGCAATTTGATTTAAGCCAGCCAGTCCGCGCGGGGGCGTGGCACTTAAGTAGCTGCGTGTGCGAGTGTGCGTGCTTGAAAGGACGCGTTAATATTTATTTAAAAGTCTGCACACCTTTTGCCTTAAAGTCCCACGCAGAGAGCACAAATCGAGAGAGAGAGAGAGAGGGGGGGGAGTGGGGGAAGGGTGGGATGCGGAGAGCGCTTGGCATGTTGATAATTTGAAAGAAGAAATTTACATGATTTGCTTAACAATCAAAATGTATTTCATTGTCGGGTTGGCGGCGGTGCGGCGGTGCGGCGGCGGCTTGTCAAGTGGATTGTGTGTGCTATTTGCTGGCATATTAGTAGGGCTCGAGCCCTACAATTGAGTTGTTCAATGACACGCCAAAAATTCGTGAGCTCGTGACTCGCAGAGCCTTCAAAATATTGCCTAATCACTGCTCGGGGAGCTGGGAAGCTGAAGCTTTCGCTCACGCTGCGGCTGTGGCTGGGCGTTGGTAAGGACATGTACGTGTGAGTTGGCGATGTGGTTTGGGCGGTGAAAGTAGCCGCAAGTAAAAGTTTTTGCCCCGTCCATTTGGTCAATTTGGGCCAAAAGAAAATTTGTAGGCTATAGAAAGTTTTCAGAGCGAGGCGAGCAGAGCAGGTTGAGCGGCGCGGAGGGGGAGGGGGGGTGGCTTGAAAGATTTGAGTCTATCTCTTGTTTAGTTGCCAGAGGCGGCTTTTGGGCGTGGCATGTGGCAAAGTTTTACGTGTGCACGCGCCCCAAAAATAAACAGCAACAATGGCAAGTGGCAGCGGTTAAGTTGACAGGACAACAGCAGCAGCCCAGAGACAGAGAGAGGCAGCCGGCGCTGGCTGCGAGGCGTGGCAGGCTAGCTTGATATAGCTGGTGAGATAAAGCGTTGAAAACTTGAAGCCAGCGGCTGTTGGGCCAACAACAACAACAGAAGAATAACAACAGCAACGGCAACAGCCACAGCAACAGCAACAGCAACAGCAACGCACGCACTCACAGCACAGCTCAGCAGAAAACAAAATATACTGTGAGAGCACAAAATGAAAACAAATTGTGCACTACGGTAGATTCCCACATTAGGGGTAGTCCATATAAAATAAGTTAAGTCTAAGATTTGCGAATGTCAAATTTGTGCTCAGTGATCTGAGTGTAGGAAGTGGACGAAGCCCTAAAGCCAAGTGAATGTCGCACCGATAATAAATCGCAGGAGATGCCCCTATTATAACCATCAAATATATAGCGATAAATCGAATTTAGTTTCAGTGATTACTGTTTGCCTTGCTAAACTCATTTAAGTTGTATAAAACTTGACTAAGAGAACTTTCTAAGAAACCATCTTAAGTTATTTTCAGTTTCAGTTTTAGAGCTATTTTATAATTGGGTTTATCCTTCGAGTATACGAAAATCCAACTGAAAGCATTTCTTTAGCTCAGCTAAATTAGTTGACAATAATACAATATTCACGCTTACTTAAAGCTCTCTTAAATCTCACTTAAAGCTCTTCTGCAAATTAGTTCATAAAGCTCACTTGAACTTAGCTTAAAGCTAGACGGGCCCTTATATGTTTCCCGAAGCTTACTTAAGCTTGCCCTCGACCTTAAATTTCGCACAATGCCATTCATGAGCGAAGTAAAAGCTTTCTTCAAACTAAGTTAATGCTGTTATCGAGCTGACTCAAAGCTTATCTTGAAGCGCAATTGAAGCTGTTATAAAGCTGATTTTAAGTTTTACATGATTAAAGCTCGCTTCAAGCTCTGCTTCAGCTAGTTATTTAAGCTCTTCTTGAGCTAGCATAAAGCATAGATCAACGTCTTAATATTTCTTAAAGTTCTTTTTGCGGATAAAGCTCATTTAAAGCTCAGCTTGAGCCCACTTAAAGCTCTATTAAATCAGTTTTAATCAAAATCACTTAGGGATATCCATGCTCAGCTTCATTTGCTTGCTGAAAGCTGCTCGAACACACAAAACTCTCATTAATATTCGCTCTTCCAGCTTTTCGCAGCAGCTCTTGAGTGCCCCCAATGTATGTGCTTGCCCGTATATGGTAGCTGAGCCAAAATTGAAATATTAAGCCATACAAATCAGGCAACTTGCTGCAGCAGAAGCAGCGGCAGTGGCAGCGGCAGCGGCAGTAGCAGCGAAAAATCATTCGACACGCGCGGCATTTATCAGCGCCAGCGGGCGAGGCGGAAACGGAAACGGAAATAGAGCAAAGGGCTGCGCAAAAGGGAAGCATGCAGGCACGTATAAAGCTAAGCGGGAACTTTGGGAGCTGGGGCTAAGGAGACGCGCTTATTGACGTTGAGCAACGCTTATTGGCGTACTTAATCCTTTTGGCAAATTCCAATAAATTACCAGAACAGGACAGGACACGACGAGCCAAGGCCAAAAGTCAGAGGAATACAGTCATGACTGCTAGAGGCTGGGGGCGGGATGCACGAAAAAACAAGAGCAACAGCAACAAAAATAAAAAAATAAACAAAAAAAAAAGAAAGACAAACATCAATAGGCCATGATGAGTTTCTGATTGCAAAGCAAAAGGCAGCGCAGCAGCCCCCAAAGGTCGAACGGACTCTAGCTAAAGCTCGCTGGGTTGTATGGGGATGGGGTTGCCCCTAGATGGCGAAGGAGGGGTGTGGCATGGCTGAGAAGGATGACGGTCGTGTCACATGGCTTGGCTTGGCTGCCTTTGGGGCAAGTCATAAAATTGAACAGACATTTTCTGTGAGCGAGCTGGATGGGGGTGGGTGGGCTCTCTGCTTGGCTACAAAGTTAAATTGAAAGCCCAAATCCTTGCCAGACTCGCAACTGGATAGGCAGCTCGCTTTGCGTACTTTGTCTTATCTCTTTGACTGTTTGCCCATAAACCAGGCGCCCGTCCCGTCCTTCCGGGCCCCGCCACGACCTCGACGCACCTCGCACCTTGCACCTCGCACTTCTTTTTTATTGTTTTTTATTGTAAATGTTTTGCATATTTTTGATTGTGCTCCAAGTACCCCAGCTCCATAAAAAGTAAAAGTAACAATAATAAGTGAAAAGGTTGCACCTAGCCGACATAGCTAACACTCTACACATTATCTTACGGGCCTTGACAGTCGAGGAGCTTGCACCGTCCAGAGTATCAGTTGCATTTAAAAGGGTATTCCGTAGTCGTTCACTTCAGCTAAATTTGTGGTTCTTTTTTTCGGCTCTGACTTTAATACGCTTTAAGAGCTGCTGCTCGCTGCTAGTCCTCGTTCGCTAGCTGCTTGCCCTGGTGGTAGGCCTGATCGATGCCACGACTGTGGGCGACGAGGCGCGGGTAGGCGCGCACTGTGTCGGCCAGCATGGGGCTGACCAGCTGGCTGGCCAGAATGGCCGTCACATGACCGAAGACGAGGGCATCCAGCTCGCACAGCTGCTGGCCCCACAGGTAGCCCGCGATGAGCTCGGCGTTCTCCTCGTTCGCCTCCAGCTTGTCGCTGAGCAGCTTGCAGCATTGTTGCAACTGCATCTGGACCCCGGGTGCGTCCAGATCGTGCCATTGATAGACGCGCAGCAGGCGCAGCGCCTCCTCGGACTTCTCGTGTCGTCGAATGCTGCTCAAGGGCCACGGATGGGCGGCGCCGATGCGCGGCTGTGTGTAATTCGCGAATATCGGCGTCTCCCTGTAGCACTGATGCATCTCGGCCAGGGTGAAGGTGTTCTCCACGTACGTCACCTCGCTGCGCATATCCTCGCGCTCCTCGGCGTCCAGCCAGGAGCTGAGCGCATGGTCCAGCTGCGTGCTCTCCACATAGCCCACAATCGGCTCGAACTCGGTGAAGAGGCGGTGATCAAGGCGTAGCAACGGCAGCTTGGTCAGCCGCCCGCCCGGCGACATGAACTCCGCATTGTCGCACTGGCGCTCCATATAGGGCAGGCGGCACATGCGCAAATAGGTCTTCACGGCCAGGCAGCTGGCGTGCTCCGGCAGCAGCAGCTGCGAATCCTCCAGCGGCTGGTAAAGGTACACAACTTGTGGCCAGGGCAGACTTTCGCCTGGCTGGACCGCCGGCTGCGTATCGGTTGCCTGCAGCAATGCGCTGGTCAGTTCCACTTCGGTATCCATTTGTCTCTCCGCTTGCTGTTTCTAGCTGTCGAACAAAATTTGGCTCTACTTAAAAAAGTCTGCTGTACTTGGATGTGTGTGAAATGTGCTTGGAAATTTAAGTAAAAGGAGTTGGCTGCTGAAACTAGTCTCAGTGCCGGGAAGCTCTAAAAAAAAAAAATGACTGAGTGACGAGTTGGCAGCGCCTCAATAGGATTCCATAAGGCCTATGGCAACGCGTTGGCAGCTGGCAAGCAAGGCGAGTTGGCAGCGTCCGTCCACTGTCAATGCAATCATCAATCAATCCAGGCTCTACCCAAGGAAAGACAGTTGTTCACTGTAGCTGTAGACAAGCGGAAGAGCAGTAATTATTAAGATGAAACAAAAAACGAGTTGGCAGCTCCTTAGCCGAATCCATTCAGCTCCTTTCATTCCACTCCTGTGCACATCTCAATCTTCTAATATATTATAATATATATATATAAATATAAAATATTGTTTTATATCTCCAAATCTGTCTCTGCTCGGATCTTAGCTTTATGACCAGCTAAGCAAGCAGCACCTGCAGAGCAACTTCCTGGCTTATATCGTGTACCGAATCAATGGCAGTTTCCAAGAAGTTGCAGCTCTTTTGACTATAACTAAATAATAAGGCCATTCAAAGTGTCTTTGTAGATATTTACTTACGCAAGGCGCTCAACTAGCGAGCCCTTGGGCTCACTGTCCAATTCAGGTGAATGGCATTCAAGGCTTATTTCTTTTTAAAATTTCTTGCGCAATCCTTCGCTCTTTGAGTTGTCCTTTATCAATGCTGCAATTAGGCACTTTGTGTGCCAACTTTGTTTTGAATTATCGATAAGACGTCAATGGCCAGTTGGCTGGCATTGAAAGTGTCTCGGGACAAAGGCAGAGCCAAATGCCCCAAGGTCAATAGCAAGGTATACACGAGATACTCAACGCTTCAGATAGGCTACAATTAGCTGTCTAGTTGGAGATGGGCCTGACAATTAGAAGGCAGCTCAGCTGAGGCGCGACTGTCAACGCCTTCGCGTTGCATGCCTCAAGTGAATTGCTTTAGATTGTCGCCGTCGCTGCTCTGTCAACGGGTACGAGTGTATGGCGATGGCTTGGGCGGGGAGCAGAGCATGGAGTGTGGACTGCGAGCTGGCGAAAATTTCCTGCTCCAATTGAGCAATTAATCATTAAAGGCGCCACCTGCCGGCGCTTGTGCGCAACTTTTGCCTAAAAGGTTTACCAGAATTGAGTTTACCCCCAAACCGCCACTCGCTCGCGCTCTGCGCCTGAAGATGATAAATTACACAAGCGAGAACATTATGTAATTTCCAAGCCACCCGCCGAGTGTTTCGCCACAATGGGCAACATCGCGCGCGCTCTCGCGTGTGTGTGTGTGTGTGTGTGTGTATGAGATGCAAGTTTTCCACTTACTGTTTGGCGGTTTTGACAGCCCCACTTTCAAGGATCATCTGTTTGCGTATGTCGAAGGACGAGCAGTTGTGCTCGGGATGAACTTTAAGCTGTAACGCTTTTCATGCATTTCAACTGGTTCGACTGACGTTGATGAACCCGCATAGCTTCAACTTCAACTTCAACTGAAACAGAAATTGGCGAGAGAACTACTGAAGAGACCAAGTCACTTTATGGAATTCCCAAAGGTTTCTTAACTCCCTCTACAGAGCTCGGCTACAAACTATTTATATTTAAGGTAGTGTTTCCGCTCATCGGAGTTTTGTTAGGCAAGCTTTATAGGCTGATTAGTTTTAGCCACGGACTCATGCAAACTTCCACAGCAAAACTGTTTGAGGCAGTTAATCTTCGGATAAACAATTTCCAAAGGAATACATCGTGAAGGCCAGGGCCATATTTCTTCGCAGTTGCCAGCTACCTCATCTCGCAGCAAGGATTCTTAAGTAACAAGTTTTCATAATATTCCGTATGGCCTAACATCCTTAACTGTGGGAAAACTGATTACAGCTCCTTAGGGTAGGCCATATATCATCGCCAGTTGGCTTATTATTTCGCTTTGTACCTAATTTAATGTTCAATTAGGACTTGTGTATTCGCATTCTTGATTCATTTTAATGGGGCAGCTGTCGGGGGCGAGATGGTTCCCTTTTTGTCTTTGTGTCACTTTGATTGATTCGACGGAGGAGCCTCGACGGGTTAGGGCTCTGATATCCAGCAGCCTTGACTTTGCATAGACTTTTTCTTGGGCTGTTGAGCATTGACAAAGTTCATTGTGTTGAGGCAAATTAATTAAGCAGCCGCTGGAGCCACTTGGCACCACTTACAACCACACACACACACAAACGCAGATAGACAGAGTGGGAGAAATGTCTGAAAGGGGAATGTGAATGTAATTGTGAATGTGAATGTGAATAAGAATGAGAATGGGAATGGGAATGGGAATGGGAGTGTGCGTGGCAATGGCAATGTTCGCTGAGCAGGTGGCGTCTCTATGGTGGGTTAGGGTGGCCCGGTTGAGACGTCGTTTGCACAAAGCCAACAAAAGGCAACAATTCTTAGCCACTAATAAAGAATAATATGACTGCCATAAAACTCAATTTATTACCAAAATGTCGACAAGCAGCGCAGTCGGAATGCGTGTGTGCGTGCGTGTATGTGTGTGTGAAAGAATTACGACTCTACCAGTCGGGCACCAGGGCAAGCTGTCAAGAAGACGCTCGTTCCAAGGAAACGATAGGGAGCTCCTGCTCCTGCGAATACAGCCAAAATTTCATGCTGCCATTTCGTTTGGCCAATTCCTATTCCAACTTTTAGCTTCCATTTTAATTCAAAGTCCCCTTTTTTATTTGCATTTTGTTCGAGTCGCATCGGGCGACTCCATCTGCATCTACTAATATCTACTCTAACATTCGATGGGAGTACCCCAACTTACAGGCTTCCGAGCGTCGCGACGTGCTAACACAAAGCAATCAAGTTTTGTCTGCCAAAATGCATTATAGTTAACTAGTTTTCTTCGATTCGATATAGCACTGAGTTCATAATGCAAGAGCAGTGAACTATGGCGAGGGTGGGCTAGAGGGCAAGAGCTTCAAGAGCGTATGATAACTGAGATTTACTACATAAGTTTTAAATAACATAAACGATCTGTTATCAATCATCAGTCATCAATCACTTATTCTTAATAATCACTTAATTAGTGATTATCTATTATGAAACATATATATTCAATCAGCAACAAAACATTGTCAGTTACCAATAATCAATCTCTAGACTTTGGTCATCTATGATCAATCATTACTTTTCCATCATCAATATATATCATCATCCTTATGATCCTTATCCTATATCAATCATCCTTAATCAATCATTAAATACCAATTATTAATAATCAATAATCAATCAATAATATAAATTCTCAATCATCAATCTTTGACCATCAATCATCGAGGATATATAATCAATCATCAATCATGGATCCGCCATCTTTCATCATCAAACGTATATCATCCATCATCTATCATCAATCATCAATCTTTAATCATCAAACACATATTATCAATCATCAATGATTAAGCAGCAACCTTCAATCATCAATCATCAGCTCCAAATCCTTACTCACCAAACGTAAATTATCAGTCATCAATCATCGATCAATAATCGTCAGTCATCAGTGATAAACCATCAATCTTGAATCAACTATCTTTAATTGATTGATCAATCATTTATTATCAATCATGGAGCATCACTTAAATAACAGCTAGCATCAATCATAAATAGCCTTCAGTTACCAGATATTCAATGCCCTTAGCTACTATTTCCATTACTGTTATGGCACTAAGCTTGGTTTTCCTCTCGTATCTATACAATTGATTGACTGATTGAGGGTATTTATTAGTTGCCGTGATTCTATCCTCTGGCTCTGGCTGTGGCTCTGGTCCATTGAGTTTTATTTCTTTGCCGACTTTTCATCTTTGTTTTGCAATTTCATTTGCCATTTAGCTTCTTGTTGTCTAGCGCTCGGGCGATTTGTTGCTTTTGTGGCCCATTGCCCACTGTCCGGTGGCCCTCGGTCCACTCTGCCCCCCTGTGTGGCGCTGTTGAGTTTGTTGGCCAGCTGCTGGGCGCATTTGCTGGCCGCTTTGTGGCCACATTTTGGCCGCTTTGGCACTGTACGAACGGTAAACGGTAAACGGTAAACGGCGAACGGTGAACACTGAACGGCCCCAAATACCCCTAAATAACTGTTTTGAGAGCTAATACCCAATTTCAAATAGTCTGTAGTTGGAGCGTTGTTGCATGCAGCCTCTGCTGCACGGCATTTGGCATGAGCTGCAGCTATACAAAAGACGATTTGCTCCACACACAGAAAATGTGATTCATGTACGAGACAAAAGGAGAGCATTGCGGCTCCTCTTCAATCAGATTAACTTAGAACTGAGCGTTAAATACATTTGATGGGCCTCGAAACTGAGTCCTGATAACTTGCTAAGGAAATCGAGCAACGTTCGATTATGCATTTAAAGGAATATTCCAAAGAGAAAACTGGAGTACACAGATAGCTAAGAGCGAGGTATAGAAGTGGTTAACTGAGAGAGATGGAGAGAGAGAGAAAAAGAGAATGAGAATAAGTAGTATAGAATAATATAGTATAGTAGTATAGTATATACAGCAGAGAAAACTTTTGTGAATCAAATCTAGATAGTTGGGAACTAAGGAAAAGGAAAGGGAAGTTAAGGAATTAAGAAAAGTTAAATGAGGAATACTTGAAAGCAAATCCGAACAGGATATGTAAGAGGAGATCGAAACCAGAGAGTGTAAAGATATAAATGTTGGTGATAAATAGAAGAAAAATTATTAAGGAAGAATGTTGGCCAGTGAGAAGGATAAAGTAAAAGAGTAAGAGAGGAAAGTGATAAGATTGCAGCAAAGTTAAAAGAGGTATACGGCAAATAGCTTAGAGCAGATCGAAACATGATGAGAGAGTGAAGAAAGATGGTTATAGATCAAGCATAATAAGAAGTCAGGCAGCTCTAACGGCAGCAGCTTGCGATATGGATTCAGAAGAAAACCTCCCAAGTTCAAGCTTCCATAACACAAACATAGATAGCTTTGTCGAAAGTAAGACGAAAGAGAGAAAGAGAGAGAGAAGAGAGTGAGAGATAAGCTAAGAATAGTCAGAGTCAAAAGCAAATCTCAATTGACAACAATCTGAACATTATGCAGTTAGCTGAACATATTTCAGGTCAAGTACTTGAATATAATGACAAATTCTCTTGGCAGGTCTTTGGTTGCGCGGAATGATAATTGTTAATTTGCGGACGCGAAATGGGCGGACATTTCCAGAGAGTTGAGCGATATTTGCCTGCGGCTTAAGGCAGCTGTTAAGAGGTTGTCAAGGGTCTTGTCAAACTTGTTGTCGTTGTTGTTGTCACTGCAAATTATGGCAGCCTCAATGCGTAAATGATGCTTAATTAACATTCACAAAGTTGGCAACGCGGTCGTAAGGAATGCTGTGTGTGGATGGAGACTGACGACGTTACACCTGCAAGGCGAAGGCCGCAACTAGACGCGCAAAAATTGCAAATGATGTGCGTTTATGTCTGGAAGACAGGCGAGCAAGCTTTGCTTCACGTACAGTAAAGGGCCCACGTCAAAGCACATTACGAGCAAGCGTAAAGCAGAGGCGACAGCCGCAAAATATGTAACGCAGCCCCATCAAGACTGAAAGCAAAAGGCATAAGAAAAACACGACGACGGCGCTGCTGGCAGCTGCTGGCCAGGATAACAGCAACAGCACTTGAGGCATGATGGCTTGGGCAGTTCAAGGCCAGGCTCAACTCGTTTTGTTCTGCCTTAATTAAGCTATAAGCCAAAGCCGTAGCCGTAGCCATAGCCGAAGCCAAAGCCAAAGCCAACCCAACCTAGCCAAGTTGTTGGCCAAAAAGCATTCACTGGCAGCAGGCGCAGATAACAGCTAATGAAAATCACTTGGCACAATGTGCCCAGAGCGGCAAGATGGCGGGGCTGGCAGTGGTTGGGTGGTTGGCTGCTTGGCTGGTTGGCTGGTTGGCTGGTTGGCTGGTTGGGCAGTTGGGTTCACAGGACACGCTCCTAATACAATTAGAAGCGCTTAAGCTAAGTGCTGCAAACGCCTTCAAGCAGTTGAAGCTAGTTGAACTGACCTCCAGTTAAAGCAGACCAGATTCAATTGTCGGGTGGAAACTACAATGAAGCGCCACAATGCGACTTAAAGAGCTACAGGCAACACGGCTGTTAGCGACTGTGCCAATACTCTGTACAATTTAAAGTGCTTGTCAAACTCTGACTTGACATCAAATGCATGCGAGTTTAAGACTTCTCAATAGACTGTAAATGCAAACAGGCAACGAAAGCTGATAACAAAAGTATGAAGCTTGACAAAAGAAATCATGATGACTAATTAGCTTAAGAATAACGCAATATGCCCAGCCGGTCCAGCTGAACAGGGTATATATTAGAGATTAACAAGAATGAACGGACAACGGTAGGAAAGAGCCAGGCCAAAGCATTGAAGCTGAAACAAGGTGCGTGGCAAATAATAAAATGAACTGCAGCTGAGTTGGTCCAGGTGTACAGCGGTGGCGGGGGCGTGGGCGTCGGCCAGGAGAAAATGTGGAGAATTGGCTGCAAATGAAAGCATTTGCGTAGCATCAACAAAGCACGGGTTAAAGCGGGAACAAACCAGACGCAGCAGTTGCAGAAAGCATCAAGGCAATAGCAGTCAGGCCGGTCGGGACTGGGCAGGGTCTCTCGGATAATGGTCCGCCCTTTTGCTTATGCATTACATTAACACACTAATGAGGCGGCTGTCGCATTAAAGGCGTGGCGGGCGCCTAGACTCAACAGCGCCCACATCGAAACGCAACCCCAACGCTCAATGTCTGCAGCTGGCGTTGTGTTAATTGAAAATTAATGGCGCGATGGCAAAAACTAAACATGAAAATTCGCTGACGCCTGGCTACAGCAAATGGCCGCCAGGTGGCGCGCCCGAACGGGTCTAGCTGCTGGACCCGGCCCAGAGTTGACCGACTAACGCGTGAAGTGCTAAGCAAATTAACATTTTCATAATTAAATCTATAAAAAGGTGACGAACTGCTTGCCATCGGGTGGACGGGCAGCAATATGAGTGGTGGAGCGAGCGAGCGAGAGGAAGAGAGTTGGTAAGTGGTATTTGGTTTATGTGCGACAGCTCAGACGATACTCGGAAAAATTTTTGCAATTAATCACAATTAAAAACAGGCGACAGTTGACTTTTTTATACCCTGCAAGTCAAGATGGTTAAGGCTATATTGGCTATATTTACTCAAGCTAATAGAAAAGAGATTGTTGAAGAGGTAGCGCTAAAGATAGAGGAAGGAACAGGTGGACATAGGATGAAGGTAGATATGAAGCTAGAGCAAGAGGAAGAAACAGAGAGCAAGAGACAGAATTAAATTAAAAAGAAGCATACAGGACTAAGATAAAAGCCTTCAAAATAAAGTAGAAGTCAGAAGTAAAGAAAGCATAGGTTAAATCGATATCTGAGGTGGAGTTTAAAAAGGAAGTGGCGACTGAGCTAGAACGTCACAATAAAATAAGTCAAGTTCTTGTCCGTCTTCATATATCATTACAAAGTCGAAGCTCCAATGAATTACTCAATTAGCTTACAGGGTATTGCGCGGTCGATCGATTACAACTTTTGGACTTATTTGTCCTACCCTTAAGCATCTTTAGCGTCTTCTTCTTCTTCGTCTTCTGCAACTTTTGGCTCGGCTTTATTACACCGTCCGAACAGTGCGTGACGTTGGCGTGGGCGTGGTCATGGCCATACCCCTACCCCTACTCTCAGCCCTGGCCGGAACAGATGCCCCGGCTACGGTAATGGCGACAAGTTTAATACTTTCAGCTGCGGGCCCCGGGCGGCCAGCGCAAAGGGCAAATTAAAATAAATATGCCCGAAAAAAAGGGGTTAAATGGGACTGGGGGCGGGAAATTAAAGGAAATTAAAGAATGAAAAAGTGATGAAGACAACGCGCAAAGGCCAAAAACAAACCAGACAAAGGCAAACCAGAGCAAAGGAAACAAAATAAGACAAACTAAACGGAACAAGGAGAACTTTAAGAACAGAGAGAACTGTGCGAGGCAATCAGAATGTAAGAAGGCTGCGAAAAAAGCTAAAACTAAAGCAAAAACTCAAGTCAATTAGCTATGGAGTAAAAATATGACAATGACAATGACAATGACAATGACAATGACAATGACAATGACAATGACAATGACAATGACAATGACAATGACAATGACAATGACAATGACAATGACAATGACAATGACAATGACAATGACAATGACAATGACAATGACAATGACAATGACAATGACAATGACAATGACAATGACAATGACAATGACAATGACAATGACAATGACAATGACAATGACAATGACAATGACAATGACAATGACAATGACAATGACAATGACAATGACAATGACAATGACAATGACAATGACAATGACAATGACAATGACAATGACAATGACAATGACAATGACAATGACAATGACAATGACAATGACAATGACAATGACAATGACAATGACAATGACAATGACAATGACAATGACAATGACAATGACAATGACAATGACAATGACAATGACAATGACAATGACAATGACAATGACAATGACAATGACAATGACAATGACAATGACAATGACAATGACAATGACAATGACAATGACAATGACAATGACAATGACAATGACAATGACAATGACAATGACAATGACAATGACAATGACAATGACAATGACAATGACAATGACAATGACAATGACAATGACAATGACAATGACAATGACAATGACAATGACAATGACAATGACAATGACAATGACAATGACAATGACAATGACAATGACAATGACAATGACAATGACAATGACAATGACAATGACAATGACAATGACAATGACAATGACAATGACAATGACAATGACAATGACAATGACAATGACAATGACAATGACAATGACAATGACAATGACAATGACAATGACAATGACAATGACAATGACAATGACAATGACAATGACAATGACAATGACAATGACAATGACAATGACAATGACAATGACAATGACAATGACAATGACAATGACAATGACAATGACAATGACAATGACAATGACAATGACAATGACAATGACAATGACAATGACAATGACAATGACAATGACAATGACAATGACAATGACAATGACAATGACAATGACAATGACAATGACAATGACAATGACAATGACAATGACAATGACAATGACAATGACAATGACAATGACAATGACAATGACAATGACAATGACAATGACAATGACAATGACAATGACAATGACAATGACAATGACAATGACAATGACAATGACAATGACAATGACAGTGACAATGACAATGACAATGACAATGACAATGACAATGACAATGACAATGACAATGACAATGACAATGACAATGACAATGACAATGACAATGACAATGACAATGACAATGACAATGACAATGACAATGACAATGACAATGACAATGACAATGACAATGACAATGACAATGATAATACTGATTAAGAAGTGAACAACAAATATCTCAACTGGATTAAGCAGGCGTTACGAATATGAATATTAGATTTTCCATCAAAGCTCAGTTTGAAACTTTCCTTCACTTACCTCTTGAGGTTTTTATATATTTTCGAAACACATTTGTAAGCCAAAATGGATGAGTTCAACAAGATTTTTAAAAGTTCGGTGTTCGGGGATGAAGCACGATGTAGTGATGAGCAAGATGAGGAAATAAATGAATTCGAAGAAATAGGCCGGAAGCGTAAGAAAAAGTTTGATCCTTACGAGGCAAACGGGGGGACTGTGCTGGCAATCGCTGGCGCGGACTTTGCTGTGGTTGCTTGCGACACACGATTAAGCAGCGGCTACAACGTCACATCGCAGGACCAGACGAAACTGTTCAGGATGACCAAAGAGTCGATGGTGGCATCCACGGGGTGCTGGTGCGACACCCTCGCATTGACCAGCCTGCTTGAGATGCGCATCCAGATGTACGAGCAGGAACACAATAAGACCATGGCGACTGATTCGCTGGCTCAGATGATATCCATTGTGATGTACAACCGCCGCTTCTTTCCCTACTTTACGAGCAGCATCCTCGCCGGCCTCGACCGTAAGGGCAAAGGCATCGTCTACTACTTCGATCCAGTTGGCCACTATGAGCGCTGCCGTTATCGTGCTCTCGGCACCTCGTACGCGCTGCTGCAGCCCTGCCTGGACGAGCTACTCGGCTGGGAGAATCTGTTGCCCTCGAAGCCCGTGCCGGTTTTCAACGTCTCCAAGCAATCGGCCATCGAGATAGCGCAGAAGTGTTTGGAAATTGCCTCCGATCGGGATCTCTTTTCGGGCGATAAGGGCGAGATACAGTGCATCACCAAAGATGGCGTCACATCCACAACAATTTTACTGCGCGGCGATTAGTATTGCTCGCAAATAGTTTTATAAATTGATTGCTTTTCGTGTACATTTGGTAACTTTTTAAATATATTCAGATAGACAATAGACTCGAGTTCTTTTCAATGATTCGGGAATGGAGTGGGCGGTGGTCTGATAATGGACAATCTGTCAGGAGCTGCTTGAGCTATCGATAACATTTGTTAAGCTATTCAATACGATTTGACTTTTGATAACCAACTCTGAAGCGTGTTGAATGAGACAAGCAACGCCCAAGTTAGTTATGAAGGAGAAATTTGTCGCCATCTCAGTTATCTCATGACGAGCGCTCAGCAGACCGTCATTTGAATGATGTGATATTTCATATATAAAGCCTTAGATATAGCCTTGAAATAAAGCTGGAAATAGGGCGAAAGGGAATTAGTCTTTGGCTTATTGCAATTTCTTTTGCCATAGGCTTTACTTGGTCAGACTGAAGGAAACAGAGTTTTGACAAATAAATCGAGGGAAAAAAGAATGAAAATGAAGTACTCACTTTTGGGCGATTCGCGTGACCTAGCAGCAGTTGCTGCCATTGTAACTGCGGCATCTGCAGCTGCAGCTGCAGCTGTATCTTTAGCTTTGCAGCTGTGTATCTGGGCTTTTGCCTTTGGCTTGGCTGCGCTTTCATTGCGTTTAATATTGAAATTGGGTTAATGAGTTTTTGTTTATGGGCCGTGCGGCGATACCTAGCCACGCCCACATGCAGCAGGCAGCTGGCAGCCGCATCCGCAGCCGCAGCCGCATCCGCATCCGCAAACGCGTTCACTTTAGCATTCGCTTTGTGCTGCTTCGCCATGCTAATGTAAATTTGTTGAGCTCCGTGTGTGTGCTTGTGTGTGTGTGTGTCAACTGGGCGCTTCGCTGCCTGGGCGTGGCATAAGCGCGTGTCACATCAGCCACATTGGCGACGGCAGCTCCTTTACCTTTCGTAATGAAAACTATTTCCAGCTCTCAACTAAACGTGAAGGACACAAAGCTGAAGGTGGTGAAAAGGGGCGTGGAGGGGGGCGCGGCGGCTGACACAACTCATCCAACAAAGGCTTAATGTTAATTAAGTGGCTAACAGTCTGTCAGTCAGAGCTGGCAGTGTAGAGTTCACCGTTACCGTAACTCGATCCTGTGGCGCCGTCTCTCATCCTTCTGCCTGCTTCCTCGCTCCAGCTGGTATCGATTAAAATGCCGCAAACCGCAAAATTTGCTTTACAAAACTTTTTTCATTAAACTAATTAAATTGTTTATTAAACTAAATATTTAATCACCGGCGCTGAGAGGATAAATTATTCAAGCGACACTCGAATTTCGTGTCAAATGGAAAGCTACAAGCAAATGTCCTTTTCGCATAGTTAAAGAGCTTTATACATATATATAAAGGGGTTCACTAAAGCCTTATTCTAATGGATCTCAGCTCTAGGCAATCGCAGACTTTGCTGCTAATCGAAGAAGTCAAAGATTGCAGTTCAAGTCATATGTGAACTTGGGAATCGCTGAAGTTAGCACACATCAACTGGGCTTACAGCGCTCGATCTGCAAATAGAATTTCAGTTTTCCAACACTTCAGATAATTATTTAACTTTCAATTATACTAAACGCTCACATTTATCTCTCGGCATATTCACATAGCCACTTTAAACTTTCATGTCAATGGCAGCATTATAACAAAAGTTATTTAATAGCAACTTCAGCGCGTGCATTGTGACTGACTAAAAAATACCCTGACTTTGGGTGAAACTATTAAAGCTTAAGCTGTGATATATGATAACGTCATTGACACCTGTTGATTTCATGTGAATTATATGATACCTCAAGTGCCCTAAATTCTCTAGGTGAATAGAGTTTTAGATGTAGACTTAAGTTCTTATAATGATTTTAAATATCAGTTTGTATATTAGAAACCAAATATATACACTGTAAAAACGGATACCTCTATCTATAGATATTATTATACATAATATGCATGTATTTTGTGTAGAGCATCTCTCAGTCGTGCATACCCTTCATAGCCTTGTTTGCACAGCATAATAAAATTATGAAATGCATTTTCAATTTACATTTGCTTTGACCCTCGCATATACAAATATTTGTTGGCTATGCAATCACTGGCCACGCCCACGCCCACGCCCACGCCCACGCTCATGCCCACTCGGCCGGTAACTCGCCAGCGTCTAGTTTAATATGGGAACTTATTAGGGCGTAAAATTCAATTAATGACCACAACGGGATTTATTATATATATATATATATATATATATATATATTTATATATATATTAATATATATATATGACTATGTATATATGTATACATATATAAATTTATTTGTTTGTTGTAAAAGTTTTTGTATGAAGCTTTCGATACGCGACAGCTAATAAATAATGCGCAAATTATTCAGATTGTTAATGGGCCGCTGCTGCTGCCGCTGCTGCTGCTGCTGGCTGCCTGCAACAGTTGCTGTCATAATTATGATTTAGTTGGCCATTTATAATTGCAGCTGCTGCCAACTGCCAGCTGCCACCCAGTCAGCCAGCCAGCTAAATGTTATTTTTCCAAGTTGCTAGTTGTTTTCTTTTCAATTTTTCCGAGTTTTCCGGCTTCGCAGATTCCCATTTTCGTTTTCCTTTTCCTTGTACTACTTTCCCTAATTACTGCAGGTCAGGCCCGCTACAATTTTGAAACACTTTTGACCCACTTCTTGGGCAGTTGCACCAGACAGCGGGCTTCGCACAAGCGCCAAATGCACTTCCAACTCACATTTCATAAACTTTCTGAAGGCAAATACGAAATTGTTTTACCTTAATTATTTTTCAAGTTTTTCCAAACTGAAATATTCATTAAGTGCATCAGAAGTGCCTTGAAAGTTACCTCACTTTTCACATATGCTTCACTAGTTCAGCCCGACTGGACTGACAGAACTTGAATCAAAATTGTAAGTAAGCTGTGCTTCAGTTGCGTATGCCCGACTAAAGCTCAAGTTTCTGCACTTCAGAATACTTTTTATATGTATGTAATAGGCAGAGTGAGGCGTGGCAGACCGCATAAATTTAAAAGTATTTACTTTTGACATGACAGGGTATATACTAGTCGGGCAGCATTACTTTCAGGATGTATCCATTCATTACAATATCAAACTCTTTCTATTGTCTTCAAGTTATGCTTGAAAAGTCAAGCCAAAATATCGATTGTTATCGATAACATATATTGGCATGTTGTTTTGGCTTGTGAACGAAGGGACATGACTAGATCAGATCAGTTTGCTATATAAACACTCATCTTCTCTATTTGCAGGGTATACATTTAGTTGGCGCGCTTTCGCATGTTGTAAGCTCTGACTGTGGTTGGTATTTGGCTGATTATTCAATTAAGCTCGTAAGTAGTGGCAAAGGTATTTAGTTACATTTAGTTGCATTAATGCTGGATAAACTACAAAACATATCAATTATCGCTGCTAATTAATATAGCAAATGCAGCGACATCATTAACAGATTTCGAAATATGAAACTAACCAGTGGACAGAGGGCACAGAGAGCACAGCATTGCCAGTGCACAAAAGACTAATTTGACGAGGACTAACTTGAATCCCTAAATGAAACCCAGAACAATGCCAGCAGCTGCAGCTATCAAAATGGGCTCGACATTGGCGTTGACCGTGTCAAGCGGCAATTAAGCACTCTTCACGAGCTCTTGTCTAGCGCAGCTGCAATGCTTAGTCTCTTCGCATAGCTTCACAGTTGGAGACTCACTTGGCCTACAGTTGGGCAGTCAGTGCATTTGATTAATAAATTCCTTGCTTCAACAGCTTGTGCGGGGCATATGTCTACTTATGATTGAGAAAGCGTATGGCCAAGACACAGCATATAGCAAAGTAGACAGGGTATCTGTTAGTCATTCACTCTCGTACTCATTTGAGCTGATAATTACTCAACAATTTTCTATTTGACCCAGCCCAGTTGAGGCGCGTAGAGCATGGCTACAGTCGGCTAGGCTCGCTTTTAATTGTGGCCTGGAACATCATTTAAGTTGGGCTTCGAACAGGACAACAGGCAGGAACTGCAGTCCCGTGGAGCTTAGTGAAGCCAAGCGCAGTGAAAGGACGAAGCAAAGACTTTTCTTGTCAGCTGGGGCCAGGCGAGGGGGTGGCGCGGGCGTGCAAGGAATGTGGAATACAAAGCATATTTATTGCACTTTTGTGACGAGTTTGTTGTTCCTTGTTCGTTGTTCGTTGTTCGTTGTTGTTGTCATTTTGTATTTGGCACTTTTACTTGACGCATTGACCTAATTCAATTTCACGCTGCGCCAGACGCAAACAACGCAGCAAGTGGCAAGTGGCAAGTGGCAAGAGGAGAAATGCCAAAGCGACAGCGTAAACAATTGAAACTCGAAAAAGAAATGCCAAAGAAAATAGTAAAAAGAAGACAATAAGGAAAAGACAAGAAGCAAATCAACTTAGCTCAAAATTGTGTGCCCAGCTGCTGTTTGGCAGGGCGCGGTGGCATGTGTGGGCGTGGCTGCCGATAGGCGACAAGCTAAATTATGAAATGCGCTCGTTGCGCATAGCAAACAGCAGAAGGAGCAAAAGAGACAACACAAAAAGTTCAGGCAGGTAAGCCAATCGGAATATGAAATGCACTTTGAGACGCCTTGACATACAGTAAAGAGTCGCAATAACGAACTGCCTGGCAGGGCAACAGCTGAGATTAACTTTAACTAAAGCAGCACAAGATTAAGCTGAACCTACTCTATATGCATGTATATAGAGGGTATCTATAGGTCAGTCAATGCACGAAAAAAAACATGATAGAAACCTTAGTCATTAAATCTCAAATCAGATGTTATATAAAGCTATATGTCTATATATATATAGCTGATGCTGAGTCAGTTAATATAAATAGTTCGCTGAGCTCAACTTGATTCGTCAGATTTTCTGTACAGTTCGATAAGTTTGCACTCCTATATTATAGTTCTATAAACTGCAGCTCTATATATATATTA